GCTACCCAGCCAGGGACTATGAGAAAGATGATATTGAAAATGTTTCCTGAAAATGAGAATATGATGGGCATTCAATAGACATTTCAGAGAAATAGCCTTTTGAGATAACTTATATGATGTGGAACAGGATGGACAAATCCTTCTCCACCTAAACCATTTCTATGACATTATGTTGATTCTTTACCTCTTTGGGACTAACTAATTCTCTTCAAGATCTGTACTGCAATACGTGATACATATATAGTTATAAAAGAAAGAACCAGGTTGCATAAAATTAGTAAAATAGAGACGAGGAAAGCAAAACCCCTCACAAACACACCAGGAGAACTTCAGCTGAAAGTTAGAAAGTGCAAATAGGTAAGAGGCTTGTTTAAATACTTGGTAAAAGAAAATGTTCAATTCAATTGATATGAAAAACACAAATTTAAGGGGTGTGGACATAAAAGAGAAATAGAAAGTCCATCTCTCAGAATAAGAGGATAAATATTTAGTCAAGACTCAGATAGAATTTCAGTAAACAGATATTTCACTGGAAAATGTCCAACCCGAGAGCAAATAATTTGAGATGGGTTTAAACTGAGAACGAAAGCTCTCTATTCCACGTCCCTGCCCGGGCCTGCAACAGCCGCCGAGGCCTGTGGCAGCAAGGCCTTTTCTTCCTCAGCCCCCAGCTCCAACCGGAGACTATAATTTTCTTTCCAGCAGGAAACTGATATATTCTAACGATGACAGCTGGATTCAGAAGAGGAAAAAGAATACAGGGGACAGAGAGTCCTCGTGGGTTTAAATCACTTTACAACTCAAAACAAACCCCCCAGATTTGGAATTTTTAAAACCTAGTTAATGGCTGAGAAAACCTCAAATGACTGGGAAGTACTAAGATAAAAGTTTGAATTACACGAAACACATCATTATCTTAAGCTTTTCTAATCATCTTCTCTACCTTCCCCTTCACTGTTTTTCTCATTGTTTATGCCCCCGGCCCTTCAATGTGGTTCTAAGATCCGTTAGTGGTAGGAATAGCCTTCCAAGGTCACTTACAAAATAATATTTGAGAGGATCTGTGTTTCCTCCATCCAAAAAAGTTTTCCTGATATTACTTTATTATTGATTACTTTATTACTTTATTTCTTTATTACTTTATTTCTTTGGGAATAATTAATCTCCTTCATATTTAGATACATTTACTGTTGAAATACACGTACACACACGAACAGACTTATATTGCGTAAAATTAGTACAATGAGAAATCAGAGGAATGAACCTCCCTATAAACACACCATTGTAAAACAACTACTTTTAGCAATATGTTGCCTTTAACTTTAGTCTGGTCCTCCCCTCCTCACCCCCCACCTCCCAAACTCCCAATACCGATGACCATAATGCCTGCACATATCTCTTTGACATTCCGAGAAGGAATTTTCTGTTACATTCTTTTTTAGTGACAAGAGGAACTGAGCTTCCTAAGGTTGCTAAGAATCCTATGAGGATGCAGGCATAGAGAGAAATGTCACCTCTTCTATGAAGCCCTTACTGTCCTCCCCAGTAGAAATGACCATTCATTCTTTAGTGCCTCAAATGTATTCGGTACACATTTCCTTTCTGTAATCCCTTACTGCAACTACTTATAAGCCCAAGACATATTCATGTGTATCTCCAGATGTAGGTGCTTAACGTGTCTGATGCTAGTTGTCATGACTTAAAGAAAATAAATGAACAACAACAAAAAATGATCCTTTTCTAGATCAAAGGGGCAGGAGCAGACAGAATCAACTGGATGCCTGATATTCTCTGCCCGGGATGCTCTGCCTCAGTGTCTTCCTGAGAAAGCAGGCATTTCTTCTTTCCTGAAGATGTTTAAGAATAGGAGAAGAGCCCAGCCGATGTGGCTCAGTGGTTGAGCATTGTTCCATGAACCTAGAGGTCGCCCGTTCGATTCCGGTCAGCGCAAATGCTTGGGTTCAGGCTCATTCGCAGTAGGGCGCATGCAGGAGGCAGCCAATTGATGTTCTCTCTCATCAATGTTTCTATCTTTCTATCTCTCTCCCTTCCACTCTCTAAAAATCAATAAAAAAGTATTTAAAAAAAAAAGAATAGGAGGAAAACAGTGAATGTGAGGGGTAGAGCACAATTCTGCTAGGCTGCAGGGGATTAGATTAGATGCATGGCCATGATAATGATAATGATAATGATGAAAATAATAGTAATGGTAGCTAATATTAACTGAGCACTTATACTGATGATGCAAAGCACATTCATTTTTGCAAAAATCCTCACTGAAGGATATCTTTTCCATTGATTTTTAGAGAGAGTGGAAGGGATGGAGGGTGTGGGAGAGAGAGAAGGAGAGGGAGAGAGAGAAACATTGATGTCAGAAAGACACATCAATTGGTTGCCTCCCACACTCGCCCCAGCGGTATCAAGCCTGCAATCCAGGTATGTGCCCTTGACCAGGAATGAAGCCTGTAACACTTTGGTGTGTGGGCCAATGCTTTAACCACTGAGCAACACCGGCCAGGGCTGCAAAGCACATTCTTTGGCTTACAAGGTAAACTATAATGCTATGACATTATTCTGAAATCATGTTGAAATCTACACATCTAAGTAAGTGATCACCTTGGTTGGTAATATACTTAACTATTGTTCAAATGGCCTTTGAAAACAATTTATGAAACACATGAGAATAGTTTTCATTATTTTAAGCTCACAAGTTTATTTTTACCTAAACAGTGCTATTTCCCTCTTAATCACCATTGTATTTGACATTTGGTTAGTTCTAAAAATCTAATTCATCCTCAAAGGAGGACAATTTGTTCTACTGTTTTGTGGATGTATTATATGAATACATGCATTCATAGAGATAGACATAGATACATACACATACATCCTGTGGTTTATGAGGGTAATTCCCAAAGGACCAGACAAAAGCAGTACTTGTCCAACAGGAATATAATATGAGGCATATATGTAATTTTGATTTTTCTAGTAGCCACATTTTTAAAAGCAAAAAGAAACAAGTGAAATTTTAATAATACATTTGATTTAATCCAATATATAAAAAAAATCATTCTGACTCATAATCAGTGAAAAACCAATGAGAAATTTAACACTTTTTTTTTCATACTAGGTCTTTGAAATTTGGTGTTTAATTTTATTCTTATGGAACATCTCAATTTGGATCAGCCACATCCCAAATGCTCAGGAGCCACATGTGGCCAGTGTCTGCCATATTGGACAGTGCAGGATAAAGTATTTAGAGCTATGGTGTCATACTAGGATAAGAGTTTGGAGGAAAAAAAGATTCAAAATGGCCAAAGTCATCTTTATGGAGGGGCTAAAGGACAGGCACTTACAGAAGAGAGAGGGTAATTTACAACATTCAAGGGTTAATCCTTCCAGACAAGAAATAATGGTACTACGTCAAGAAAAACTTAGTTCAAATAAACTAATAACTATAGTCAACCACACAACTCTGATAGGATCCCACTGATTGGACTTAGGAATAATAAGCAACTCTTTCATGGCCAAGGCCCTTTAGACACTAAGCAGAGAAGTATTATAAAGCTACATGGAATCTGGAATTGAAATACAAAAATGTTGGAAACCCAAAACAACTTATATCTGGTAACATCTGGTTTATAATCTCTGGACCCCAGTTAGTTCAAGAGTAAAATAAAGCGGACACAACCCTGAGGTGTCTTATAGCTAGGGTGACCTATAATTTATTGTGCAAACCTGGACACTTTCAAGAGTAAAAGGGGGCACTATTAATAATTATGCTGGGACGAGAGGCATAAAGGAGGACTGTTTTACAGCCATAAAACTATATGATCCTATTCTACCAAACGGACACAACAGCTACCCCTGTGCAGGGATGTGGAGCTGATGAAAGTCCAGGCATGTTCTTATTACCTCTGCATGGCCAGGGGGGCTTTGTGGGCTAATATGCATTGATCCGGGTAAGGCGGTTTCGCACCTCCCCCTCAAAGCATTTTTACTTGGTTTGAATTTGGGAGCAGGGTTCCATCTGGACAGAGCTGGACTCTGACAGCCTGAATATATTTACTGAAGACAACAAATCATTGACAGACTAAATTTAACAGAGGAAAGGCCTGGCCTGCTTGTACTCAGAGTCTGACTCTGTAATTGTAGCCTCCTTCAGACAGGCCTAATCAATTAGAAGAGGCTGATTTTAACCAGTTGCAGGCTCATTACCCTGCATTCCAGTTTGTGTTGACGAAAATCAGTTTCAGTCTGTGGCCTGGAACTCATGTACAGCACTTCCTGCGGCCTCTTACATAAACATTTCAAAAAAAATTTTATTTGGAGTTGCCCTTCTCCCTTTTAAGAAAACCACTTTGTGAATCATGATTAAAATAGAACAATTGTATGTGGATCTGGGACCCATACCAGGAAACATATATGACCCAGGAACACGTATAAAGTCAGAGCTTGAGGTAGCGAGGGGTGGATTTGAGACAGTCTCAAATATCCAGGCTCCAACATTAAATGAGTCCAGCTCAGTTATCTCCACAAATGGAACAGAAAGAACTCTTATTGAAAATGATGGCCTTTCATCATGGGGGAAGAGTACCTGAGAACTCTCCACTATTTTTTCAACTTATTTGTGAGCCTTAAATTATTTTAAAATAAAAGGTTTAAAAAGGGAAAAGAAAAAAAAAAAGATGACCTTTCAAAGGAAATGCATGAAATAAGAAAAAGCCAAGGTCTTAGAAACACAGAGGGTATCTGAGTAGATTCCACACTCTTCCCTGAAAGACCCAATAGAAAGTAAACAGCAAACTTCCAACTAAACAAGGACACGTTTCCTTGAGAAGCTTCTATGAGGGAACCATATGACACTATGTTTAATTTCGATGTGTGGTTTAGTCTTAACAAAAGTAGAAGGTGGGGGAGTGTGTGGAAGAGTCACTCAAAACCCCACCTACATTTCAAAGACCTGTAACCATTCCAAAATATGATATAACTATGAATCATACCTGGCTGGTTGCCTTTTGTGGGTTTGTCAAGGCAGCGAGTCAACAGGAAGAGGATATCAATATACACAGCTCTGGTCACCAAACATGGATTTTGCCTAGAAAGGTAAAGAATAGAAAATAAATTGATATTTTTCTCTCCATGAGGCCTAGGTCACAGAAAAGAGAAAAAAATGGTATTTTTCTACCAGGCATGTCATGAGGCTTAGGGAGTTACAGCAAATGTTAGAAAAGAACAGATAATCACCAATGGTGAGAACACATCAGTAAGTCAAGTGGGAAAAGGAAATCCTAAAGCCGGTGGTGGAGGTCGGGCCTAGGCGTGTATAAAACAGGTAACACTTTACGCTCTGGCTACAAGTAAAATAAACCGAAAACAAACAAAAACCAATGCTGTCTCTCAGTTATTTGAAAACAAGATGTGGTGATGGGGAGGACCATATTCTATTATTTTCTTCTTAATGAACAAATCTAGGGGGAAAACCATTGGTTACGAAGATCACTGGTGTAGCATTTCGGAGAAGAAAAACTGCACTCACATATGACAAACCATATCTACGGACTTAAAGTAACCAGCTGAAAACAAACACAGGAAAGCATTAACAAACACCGGAGCAGGCATTCCTAATACATGGAATATTTTCTTCTCTCAGTAAATGGAGCAGTTCATTGTACAATATGACCCACAGGCTGGAACAAGTAAGTGGACTCGGATGTAGGGATCTAGATACAAAAGGAAGAATGGAGTCTTTCTTTTGAGAATGACACTGCCCTGGCCAGGTAGCTCAGTTGGTTAGAGCATTGTCCCGGTTGTGGGTTCGATCCCTGGTCAGGGCACATACAAGAATCAATCAATGAATGCATTAATAAATGGAACAACAAATCAATGTTTCTCTGTAAAAATAATCAACCAATTAAAAAAAAAAAAAAAGATCGGCACTGAAGGTCCCTGGCTCTGAGCCTCAGTTCATCCTGACCAGGAAAAGGGCCAAACCTCCTCAGTGTACTAATAATTCGGCACAAGTAGTAAAATCAGTAGGGACAGATCTGGGTTTGAGTCCTGGCTTTGCCATTTATCTCTGCGACCTGAATCAGACTCCTGACCTGTACAATGGGAAACCTAGTCACCTCTGTGAGTTACTGTGAGTATTTGGTGTGGCAGAGCAAACTGGAATGCCCACCTTGGTACCCATGGCAGATGCCCCCTAAGTGTTCATTCCCTGCCCTTCTCTGCTTCTAACATGAGATTGGGGAGTGGCACAGGTGTTCTGCCTAGTGGATTTCCATTTACAGATCCCTAAACCTTTCTTCTCATTTCCTGTAAGTTTACCATTTCCCTGAAGTTTATTCCCACTCTGACCTGAACTGCCCATATCCTAGGGCTGCCATATGTTCTAGCATGGAAAGCAATCAGATACTTTTGATTTAAAACAAAACGGTCTTGTTTCAGTTTCTCTGTTGCTGACCTGCCTCATTTCTGTCTCACTGACTTGCTTCACCAACATTATCTGCTCGCTCCCTGGCTCCTACCCTGCCATCACTCCTGGTTTATATGTATACTTCATGTTTGGCCTAATTTCATACCTGCATCTCGCTCGTTATTTTTTAAAAATTAGTTTTAAAAAATAGGTAACACCACATGCGCATGGTATAAAAATAATTCAAACAGTACAAAAGGACGCAGTGTGAAAATTAAGTTCCTTTCCATGCCCCCACCCTCTACCCATAATCTGTTCCCTAAGGCACCCATTATTACTACTTAGTATATCCTTCCAGGAACATTCTGTTCATTTACAAGCATCTATCTAGAGCTACCCACTTGTTTATTTTTACATAAATAGTGGTTTACTATGTATAGTAAGCCCTAACTTAACACTGTCAATAGGTTCTGTGACTTCAAGTGAAAGGACGTTTAACAAAACCAATCTGACCACAGCCTAATTGATATAAACAAGAGTTAAGTTCCTAGAACATCTCGTCAACGTTATAACATGATGACATTAAGGAAATGATGGTATTTGAGGACCTGCTGTACTAATTTCTGAGCTTACTTTCTTTCACTAATATATTTTGGGTAACATTCTATTAAAAACATAGAGATCTGCCTCATTTAAAAAAAATGGCTGTAAACAGCTCCATTTCATGGATGTGCCAATCCCCCATTGAAACAATTCAGACTGTGTAAGATACTGTGCTGAAAACAATGCTGCAATAAATGTACATGTTTTGTGCGTATAAGAGGAGAAACTCCTAGAGGCTGAATTGCGGGATCAAAATATTTTCACATTTAAAAATTTTTGATTGATTTTGACAAGGTGCTCTCCAAAGAGACTGTACCAATTTACACTTTCACCAACAGTGTGTAAGAATTCTAGTTTCCCCACAACCTGCCAACATGGTGCATTATTAAACTCTGACTTTTGCCAAGATGATAAGAGAAAAATAATATCAAATTGTTTTAAATTGCAGTTATTTTATTATTAGAGGCCTAGTGCACGAAATTCATGCACAGGTAGAGTCCCTAGGCCTAACCGGCAATCAGGGCCGATCAGGTTCCCCTCCTCCTGGCCTCCCTGCTTCCTCTTTCCGTCGCTCCCTCAGCGCCCCACCGCCACCGCTGGTCACCCACCATGTTCCGCACCGGCTCCTGGTGGTCAGCACGTCATAGTGAGCAGTCGAACTCCCGAGGAGACAATTTGCATATCAGCCTTTTATTACATAGGTAAGTGAGGCTGAATGTCACTTTACATGCTTTTCAAAAAAGATACTTGAATTTTTTTTCTGTGAACTGTATTCAAATTCCATGTATATTATATTGTTGGTCTTTTCCTTATTGATTTGTAGGAATTCTTTGTATATTAAGAAAATCTCTGTCACGTGTTACAAATATGTTTTTGCAGTTTATCACTTGTCTTTTAACTTTACTTATAATTTTATTTTACAATTCAAGAATATTTAGTTTTATGCAAATACATTAATTTTTAAATTTATGTCTCCTGAGTTTTATGTCAAGCTTACAAAGTCTAACCCTTCTCCAAAATTTTATATAAATTTCCCCCCATATTTTCTTCTAGTACCTTGCAGTTCCATTTTGTTATTCTTTAATACTTTTTATCCATTTGAATTTTTTACCCCTAATCCTTCTCCTACTTTTTATCTCTACCTAGTTTCCCCCAGGTCTCTCAGTCATGACTTCCTATCCTTATTCTTCCACCATGAAAAGCCCACAGTCTATGAAAACTTCTTTAATTATATCATTTGCAATTCTAGCATTTTAACTGTTTAATAGGTAGGACTATCCCTGCCAAAGAAAGGGCTACTCAGAAAGAAAGGGAGAAAACCCCTGCAGGGGTTAGTAAGTCATCAGATGTCTAGCATAGCGCGAGGAGATGGCCTGCAGAGAGCAAATGAAATGCCTCCTGAGCCTCCAGCTTTAAGCGAGGTGCTGGGGGAGATGCACGTGAGATAATTTCTGACCTCAGAGACTGTTGTCTAGTTATACGGAGACAACTATAAAGTCAAACTTTGGGAGAGGACATAAGGAGTTAAGAGCAAGAACAAATCAGGGTGGACTGGAGAAATGAAAAGGGTTTATGAAGATGTAACTCCAGCTGGGCCCTGAAAGATGGGGAGAATTTAGACAAAGTTGACAAGGAAGGTTATGTTGAGAGGGGGCAATAGATGTGGGAAGGCATTAGTCTGGCTTGGCTGGGGACCTGGGAGACCAGAGTGGCAAATGAGAGGATGTGTTGAGAAGGAGGGAACAAGAGCAAGGCAAGCCAGGCTTTCAGAAGGTGGGATACTTTGTGTTGGCTGGATGCTTCTCATGGAAAAACATACTTTCTGCTCCCATGTGGCCTCACAGGCAAAGCTTCGCACCTGGATGTTCTTCTGTCTGTGGAACCACGAAGGGAAGTGTTGGGGGAACCGGCTTGACTTTCAAGTCTGATGAGGAGCTTAGCTTCAAGGAGATTTTTAGTGGAGTTTATATATTTTTTTTAAATTTTCTAAACGAGTAGAGGAAGGTTTGGCAATCTTTAAAGCCCACTGCCAGGCTAAAGTGTTCTGCATCTTCTCTGGACCTGGCACAGGCTGGCAACCTTGGGACTCTTCAGGGACAGTTCTGACCGCTCCCATAGCTGTGAAGCTCTGGCCATCTGAGGTAGTCAACGAGATCATGGGAGGCTCCCTCTAATGCTGCTGCTTTCGATTCCAGGGAACAGAGAGGATCTGGGCCACATAGGAGCCCATCCATGGCTTCTCCTCCGAGACTGACTCAGAAAGAAATCCTGGCGCGCAGCCACCACGCATGGCTCCACCCTGGAGCCCCGCCACGGTCACAACCACAGCCACATAACATCCCCGTCTGGAGTCAGTGTTGGGCTTCACTCTGAACTGGCTTCTAAGTCAGGAAAATAATTTTTTCTCCCTCTTTTTCTCACTCTTCCTTGGTGTTTGTTCTGACTTGGAAATGGTACACTGTGAGTTCAGGGTGAGCCAGAGGTTTGTTCTCGGTCTGTCAAGCCACTTTGATGATGGGAATAAAATCCTGGGAAGAGCAAGCCAGCTGGACAGGAAACCAAGCCACAGGGTTTTGGTGGGCTTGGGACTTTTTTCTACCCCCAAATGGAAAAACCCTGGCATGGGGCATGGTATAGTGAAGATTTAGTGTTTTTAAAAAAGCTGAAGTGGTCTGGGTCTAACAGATGGGCTGAAAAATAGCATAACAGTGGCTTTAGAAGGAGCAGCAGGAATCAGGTACTATGAGGACTGAGTTTAGATATCTAAAATGAAACAAAGGGCCTGTTAAGAAACTTGCTTTCTTCCACTTTTTTTTTTTTTTTTAATATCATTTGTCTCCTGACAAAATTCTGCCCGAGAACCTGATTAATATGTTTCTGCCTTGGGAAATCTCTGAACTTCATTAAACCTCCTGCCCTCTCTCCTGGACGTTGGGGGGAGGCAGAAGGCAGGGCAGAGAGCAGGGCTTCCCAGACACGTCCACAATGGTCCTAGTGTCTGGGGGACAGCAGGAGCTCTTGGGAAGTCTGTGATAAATTATTCACTTCTCCTGTCCCTTCCGGAATCCCAGTGCCTG